CTATGACAACCTGTCCAGGACCATCATGGCCTCCATCCAGGAGCGCAAGGACAGGGAGGAGCGGGAACGGCTGCTGCGCTCCCAGGCTGACTCGCTCTTTGGCGACTCGGGCGTCTATGATGCGCCCAGCTCCTACAGCCTGCAGCAGGCCAGCGCACTGTCTGAGGGCCCCCGGGGCCCTGCCCTGCGCTATGGTTCCAGAGATGACTTGGTGGCAGGGCCTGGCTTCGGCGGTGCCCGCAACCCCGCGCTGCAGACTTCACTGTCCTCGCTGTCCAGTGCCGTGAGCCGGGCACCGCGGACCTCCTCCTCTTCCCTGCAGGCTGATCTGGCCAACAACAACGCCCCTGGGCCTCGCCCCGGCAGCGGCTCACACAGGTCCCCGGTGCGCCAGGGCCCACCCTCCCCACCCAGCACACCCCGCTCACCCTCCTATGCAGGCCCCAAAGCTGTCGCCTTCATCCACACGGACCTCCCGGAGTCGCCACCCTCGCTGGCCATGCAGAGGTAGGTTCCAGAGGGCAGGGGGCTTCCCAGCACACGTCAGGTGTCTAGCCACCTGTGGGGCCTCTTGGCTGAGCACATGGGGGTTGTCCAGGAAGCCAATGGCTGCCTCCAGGGGTGGACCTCACCCTCTTTGGAGGCTCCTGGCCAGTCTATGTGGGGGTCACCCAGCTGTAAGGACACCCTGGCACATCCCAGGATGGGGGGGCAGGAGGATTTGCATCTTGAGCCCGGTGCTGCAATTCTCCCCCAGCTGGTGTCACCAAGTGTAGCAGGGACCCTGGGGCTTCTTCCTCTGGAGATGGTGTCTGTCCAGGAGGCTGCGTCTGGGGGACATCACCCCATGGCAGAACATGCTGCCATGAAGTAAGGGCTTCTTTGCTCAGAGATGGGGAAACTGAGGCCTAGCGGGGCAGGCTGGTTCTAGCCCCCTAGCAGATGGGTAATTGGAAGTTAGGCTGGCTGCCTTGCAGGGTCAGGTCCAAGTATATAAGAACACCTGGTGTGTGCTGGGCCCCACAGCGGGTGCATGGGGATTGTCAAGGTGTCACCCTTGTCACATTGAGCACAGGCCCGGTCAGGGAGGAGGTCCATGTTGTGGGTATGACTGGCCCAGTGGGTGGCAGCCGAAGGAGGGAGGGGCTCCCACCTTTGTGGATGTTTGGGCAGCAAAAATTGGTCAGTACTAGGCAGGCTGGAGGGCAGGAAGACCTCCCCTCATCTTCCTAGGAGGGAGCAGGAAAGGTGCTCCACAGTCACCCCTGGGCTCCCCTGCTTGGGGTGTTAGAACAGTGTAGGGCCTGGGGGCTTGGCCAGTGTCCACCTGGCCTCCCTGTGCTCCGAGGTCTGTGCCAGTGGGAGGGACCAAGGGACCTGGGAGGAGGGTGTGATGGCCATTCTGACATCTGTCTGCCTGTCCTGTGACGGCAATAGCCCTCCCTCTGTAGGCTCTGCTTCCCCACCCATTTGCTGGGTGGGACCTTCTGAGCTCAGAGGCAGGGACTGCCCCGGGCTCTGTCTACGTCTGCATCATCTGTCCTGTTGCCTCCGCTGGCCTCTGTCATGCCGTGATCCCATGTTCACTGTGGGTGTGCGTGTATGTGCTTGTTTTGATGCAGGGACCACCCTCAGCTGAAGACCCCCCCAAGTAAGCTTAACGGGCAGTCCCCGGGCGTGGCCCGCTTGGGGCCTGCTGCTGGCCCCCCAGGGCCCTCCGCCAGCCCTGCCCGGCACACGCTCGTTAAGAAGGTGTCCGGCGTGGGTGGGACCACGTACGAGATCTCAGTGTGAGGACTGACTGCCATCCATCCGCCGTGGAGCCCCGGGGACCAGGACCCCCAGCGGCTGCCCCCCCTCCCGACTTCTCTGCCCCGGGAGATGAGGAGGCCCAGGCCTGGTGTGGACACGTCAGCAGAAGAGACCACGCCTCCACGAGCCTGTCCCTCTTCCTCCGCCCGTCCATTCACCCATCTGCTCGCCAGGGCGCAGCTGGGCCGAGGGCCCCCAGGCTGCAAGGATCTGTGTGTTGGTACCCTTGCTCCCACAGGTGGGGGCGGCGAGGGGGGTGTGGACTGCATCTGCACCGCCTGCACCCATGCCCCTGAGGTTGTCCCCAGGCTGGCCCCTACCTACTCCCCTTACGGACGGGTCACTGTGGCCCAGAGACAGACAGAGAGGCCTGGGTCCCTGGCTGTACTGGGCCGAGGCCCCACCACCTGGCTGCTCCTAACTCGTTGCCTTTCAGGGACCTGCTGGAAGCTTGTAGCTTGGCAAGGCCAGTTCTTCGGGGAGTCCAGCCCCGGCCTCCAGGCACCCAGCTCTGGGACTGCTCTGGGTTCTGACAGACAGGTGGACGATGGACAGACAGACAGCCAGCTGTGGGTGGGGTCTCGGCTCCGTGTGTCCTGTCTCACCCAGCTGGTGGGTGCGTCCCCATGTCTGTGCGCTGAGCTGCCATGCCACGTCCCATGTGTTAACGCTCGGGCCCCCTCTGCCCCCACTGCCGGGAAACTCGCTTTCATTGAAGCCTTAACCTCTGCTTTATGCTCTTGTGGGAGGCGACTGGGGGCAGGTGGGAGCAGGCACGGGCTGGACGCTGCCACAGGGTGCCCATGAGACCAGGAGTCCCCTCCCTGCCAAACTGGAGATTCCCCACCCCATGGCATGCCAAGCCTGGGCCCTGCTGGAGCCTTGGCACCCTCGTGGGAAGCACATCGGGGAGGGGGTCAGAGTTTTGCCTGGTGCCAGGGACCCGAGAGTAAGCACACGGCAGCGTCCGCTTGCGTTGTGTCTGTTTTATGTTTTTATATCTACATCTATATATCTATAATTTTATTAAAAAAAGAAAAAGAGTCATTTTGATCCTTTCCTTCAGCAAGGCCAGGGTTGTTACTGCAATGCGGGGCTCCAGGGGCAGGGGGCAGAGCAGGTCAGGCTCTGGGAGAGGTGTTGGCCAAAGGTATGGGTATTCCTTGAAGCTGAGTTGGAAGCCTGGGAGGTGGGGGCCGGTCGATGGGTCTTTGGCTGACGGGTATGAGGCTCCCATGGGTCTGCATCATCCCTGGTAGTAACAGGGTATTTAGAGAGAGGTTGGGGTTGCAGCCACCCCAGTGCCCCCTGGGAACCCAAGGGCTTTGGAGGGAGATGGAGTAGGGGAAGTAGGGGGTGCATTTTGGGCCACCTGCTGGCTGAGGGCCCTGTGGGGGCCATGGGTGCACCCTGTAGCTACACTTACTAGAACTCACCCTCCTGGCAACCTGAGTGCCTCCCCTACTCCCCACCTCCCACTGCCAAATGTTGGGGGTAGGGGTATTGGGAATCCATAGCTTTTTAGGCCTGAGACAGCCAGGTCAAAGATTGGGGGTCTGGGGCACAGGCTGGCCCAATGTGGGAGGCTAGCTGGGCCTCGGACCCTGCACTGGGCAGCCATGCCCCATGCTGACCTCCACCTTTCTGCTTCTCTCTCTGGGACGCTGCGGCCCACAGGGGGCGGATCGGCACCTGCAGCCGTGGATGGGGCCGGCGTGGCCAGCCCAGGGTGCCCCCCGGCCTGCACCTATGCCACCTTGGCCTCCCTGAGGACCGCCCGCCGCTGCGGGCACCCTGGAGCCCGGCCACCAGGGCGCCCCCCCGAGGGGCTATGTGCCGCCTGCACTCGGCCGCCTCCAGCCTTTTCCCCAGTCTTTCGGGGCCTGAGCGGGACACCAAGTAGGCAGCTCCAGGACCCCAAGAGGCCAGCCCAGGAAGCCAGGCTGCCACAGACCCTGGGCTGTGGGCTGGGGGTCCCCTCTCCACCAGCCGCACCTTGACTGACTCCCAGCCCACTGGGGCTTGTGACCCTGTGCCCACCCACCTCAGGAAGTCCCCATCTGCTGCAGGGGGTCCAGCACCCCAGGCAGGGGCCCTGGAGCTGCTGGGACCAGCACGGCCTTCCCGGGGTGTTGTACCAATCACCCCAACCTCCCTGCCTGACCAAGCACTTTAGATGCCACTTCCTCCCCAGGGAGCCCAGGCCTCTGTGGGTTGGGCTGGGGTGGGGGTCTCAGGTTGCCCCTGCAGGTCACTGCACTCCCCCCTCCCCACACCCAGCACATGAACAGATGCCTTAACCTCTTGGAGCCGCCAGCCTGGTGAGTCATCCAGGCCCTACCCGGGCAGGGAGGAGATCCTGCCAGCCCAGTGTGTTCCTGGTGACAGCTCTGCCCAGCCCCACCTGGCAGTCTTCACTCTTTCACTCCGAGATGTGGCACCTGGGGGACCTCAGACGGCCTGGCTGCCCACAGCCCTGCAGTCCCTGCCAACCAGCCAGGGCCTGGGCGCCCCCAGGGGCAGGGCAGAGCTCTGGGCAGCCCTTTTCCTGCCTGGGCGGTGCCTCTAATTCTCCCACTTGGGGATGAGCAAGCCACAAAGCTATTCTCTATTGTTCGAAAAGGTATTTCCCCCACCCCCATTTAATGCCCTAAATAAAATTTTTGGTGTTTACCTCCATGGCTCCGTCCACCAACGTGGTCCCCCTGTCCTCTGAGCCTTGGGGCAGTGCCAGGAGGCTGGACTGGACAGGGACCCTGGGTCCGGGAGGGGACAGGAGTGGGAGGTGGGAGGGTGGTGGCCAGTCAAATGTGGGGAGGGTGGGGTGGTCGGCCAGATAGGGACAGACGGTTACATGACGGGTGTGAAGTCAGTGGGTCAGCAGAGTCAGGGCTGAGAACCTGATCCCTGAACTCTACTGATGGGGTCCAGCCCCAGGGATGAGGCCTGAGGACCCTTGTCTTTCAGTGGAGACCCTCTTGCTACACCCTCTGCTCAGAGCCCTCCCTGGTGGCCAGGGGTGGGCTGGGGGCTTCCTGTGGAGGCGCTGATGACCAGCGGACAGATGGGCTGTGGGCACTGAGGCAGGGGCACGACCCTGAGGAATCCCCACCATGAGATCGCCGTCAGAAGGCTGCAAAACCACCTACCCCCCTCCCCTGTTTCCATGGAAACAAGCTCACACGCTGTGTGTGTCACGACTGTATGTCCAGCCGCAGGCCCAGCCCTCAGGACAGACCCCGCCTCCACCCTTCTCCACAGCTCCTGGCGGGGACAGTGCATGGCAGTGCTGTGGGCAGGGGCCGGCGCGGCCGCTGGGCACCCGGGGCAGCGCCGGCTGCCTGGCCTCCTCCTCGCTGGGGCCTCTGGGCCTCCGGCCTAGAAGGGCAGGAAGTCATCCACCTCCAGGTGCAGGAACGGGCCCAGCAGGGCCCGGAGCTTCCAGACAGCGGCGCGGCTCAGCAGGGGAGGCACCAGCCCCTCGAAGGGCGCGGGGTCCACCACGTACACGTAGGCGGCGGTGCAGGCCAGCAGGGCGCCCAGCAGCAGCCTCAGGGCCAGCAGCCTGCGGGCGTCGGCGGTCAGGGGGCGGGGGTGCCCATGGGGATGGTCCCAGGGGACTGGGCTGTGCCCGTGCACTCACGCAGCCACCTACCAGAGCTGGCTTTTGAGGCCCTCAGAACATCCCAGCTGCGGCCTTGCCTTCTGCAGGGGAGCGGCTGGGTCAGAGCTTGCCTCCAATGGCAGGGGTGCTGGGAGTTCTTACCTTCCCCCCACTTCCCCACCCCCGCCCAGGACAGGCACCTGCAACGATGTCTCAGGGTCCCCTGGCCCCTGGTGTGGCTCCCGCTTTGGGGCCTCCTCCACTATAGCCCACATCTCCTCCCTGAGAGGGGCCTCCAGGGTGAGGTCAGACTGGGAAAGGGTGTGGGGTGGGGGGCTTACTGCTATGCATGCCATCTGCTGCTCCTTCCTGGCCTGGGTGCGGCACTGGGCACGCTCCCTGGGGGCGGGGGCTGTACAGTCAGGGCCATGTACGTCCCCCACCCCATCCTGCAGCACCTCTCAGTCTGGTGTAGTGGAACTGGGGAGGGGTCAGGGGTTGATCCACCCATCCTGGCCAGAACACCAGCCCCTTTCCCAGTTCAGCCAGGCCCCCAAGCCCCTGACCCTGCACATCACCCTAGAATCTCCAGCTGAATGTCCTCCATCTGGGCTAGTACTCCCCGGATGTCCTTCTTGAGGTTCTGGGGGGAGGGGCAGAGGAAGTAAGACCCGTCCTCTAACCCTGACTATTCTGCTGTATTCCCCTGTTTCTCAAAGCTCCCCTGCCCCTGCACTCTCTGCCTCGTCCCTGTTCCCTTAATCCTCCAGGTGTCACCCTTTGAGGACCTACCAGGAGGCCAGTGGCCTGGTTGTTCAGGGCCATGTGTACCTCGGCCACGCCATCCCACACCTGGTGGGAGAAGGGAGGCTAGGTCACATGCTCCAAGGAGCAGGACCCATGGATGTGTCCCACCAGGTGGTTCCCCCAGGGGCTGTCCCGTCCCAGCCAGGCAGGCACCTCGGTAATGGCCATCTTCTTCCTCTCAAAGGACAGTCGGATCTGCTGCAGTTCATTCTGGAGGATGGGCACCGTGTGGGCACAGGCAAGGGTAGCAGTGTCAGCTCCTTCCTCCTCTAGCCACTTAGGACTGCAGCATGAAGGACACCCCCATCCCTGGCCCAGCTCCCGGGGATCCACCTGAGACTGCTCCATGAAGGACCCCACCCCAGGACCAGCTCCCAGGGACCCTCACCTGAGACTGCTGCACGAAGGAGACCCCTTCCTCCCCACCCAGGACCAGCTCCCAGGGACCTACCTGAGACTGCTGGACGAAGGACTCTTCCCCCCGGCACAGCTCCCGCCGCAGCAGCTGCAAGGGCGCCCTGTCCTCCAGGGTCCGGGTACTGGTTCGCTCGGGAGTCTGTGGAAGAACCCTTGGGTCAGCCCCAAGGCTGTGGGCAGCATCTGTGGGCACCGACTGCTTGAGAGCCAGAGCAGGGGTATGGTGCATGGGGTCACTGGGTCATTCCTGACAGCTGCCCTCTGTCCGGCTGGGGCCAGATGTCTGCCATGGACTTACCCAGGCCAGGGCCGTGCAGCTCGAATGCTCCGGGCACAGGGGCAGGAACTGCTGTCCTGGCCCCAGGAGGGCCCCCAGCTGCTCCCGCAGATCCTGGTTCTGTCTTTTCTGAGGGTGGGAGGCAGAAAGATGGGAGTGCTTGTCATAGCCACTTCTTGGGCAGGGGACTGAGGCAGTGGGGGCTGGGGCAGAAGCTGCGGCTCTGCGAACAGCTTCAAACCCATTGCACAGATGGGCTCTGAGCCTGGGCTGGCCCCACAGCCTTGGTGGGCTCTTCACTTACCAGAGTCTGGTTTTCCTGCTCCAGCTGGAGGAAGGACTGCTCTGCAGAACCCAGGGGCACGCCCTGGAGCTGGGAGGGAGCTGCCCTGGGTGAGCCTGGGGTCCCTGCCCCCGTTGGCAAGGGTGGGCAAGGGCAGGGTCTGGGCCCTGAGCTGGGCGCCCCCCCTGCCCTGGGTGCCCCTTGCTCTCGTCCTGAGTGCAGGGGCCAGCCCCACCCCAGCCTTGCCTCCACTTGCCCTTGTCTCGTCCCCGTTGGGTCTCTCGGTCTCTGTCGCTGCATCTCTCCCTCTTCGTTTGCGATAAAGTTCCCAGGTACCTCAGCCCCTACCCTGGGCCCCCCGCTCCCTACCTCCGGAGGTGGGAAAGGCCTGGTTGACTCTATCGAGTGAGTGGAGCTGAGAGGTACCAGGCAGGGCCACCTTACAAACCCCTGGCAGGGTGAATCCAGGCATCCTCCATGGCTGCTCGAAGCTGACGGTTGGGGGCACTGGGGGTGGGAGTGGCCACAGGGGCCCAGGGTTTTTGGCGCCTCCATAACCCCTTCTTAACCCCAGGTCTAGGCTCTAGCCTGGCCCAATCTGCCACCCTCTTATTGAGGGCCCTCTAGCGGTCATGGCTCACAGGTCTTCCTCAAGGGTGCCTGTCACAAAGGCCTGGGCACATCCAGGGTGGTCACAATGGGCCAGGGTGGGGGTGGCCAGAGCCAGGGCTGGTGGGGCCCCTCCCACCACATCCCTGTTCTTAAAGTGCTCTCCTCTGCTCACCCCCTCTGCCTCTTCCTCACCCTAGCTCACTCACCCGCCTTAGCTATTTTCTGAAAACCTAAAACAGATAATGCAGACGCAAGGTTAAAACAAAACCAAATGCCAAACAAGGTGTCCAGTGTGACCCTCCCACCTCAGTCCCCCGCCCTCCCCCCAAGCCTGTTCATGAAGCTCCTTCTGGGGTCAGCTGCACATTCTGCACAGCCGATTGCCCTGTGCCCTCACCTCTTCATCACACGGGGTTAGCCCACCACCTGGCTTTTTTTACCTAACCTATCTTCGAGATTTTATTTTTTAAAAATCATTCATTAAGCATTTACTTTAATGGTTCTGTAAGATGATTATCATCCTCTTTATAGATGGGGAAACTGAGGCACAAAGACATTGCGTCGCTTGCCCAAGGTCATATCGCTGTTAAGTGATGGATGCAGAGTCAAGAGTGCTCTTCAGTGTTTCAGAGGCCTTCTTCCGCCCCCCAGAGATGTTTATTTTAAAATTTTTAACTTGAGTATAGTTAGCATACAGTGTTATATTAGTTTCAGGTGTAAAATACGGTTATTCAACACTTCCATATATTACCCAGCGCTCATCACAACCTCCTTACTCCCCATCACCTGTCTCCCCACCTCCCCCTCTCCCCACCTCCTCTCTGGCCACCGTGTCCGTTCTCTATAGTTAAGAGTCTGTTTCTTGGTTTCCCTGTTTTTGTTTGTTTGTTCGTTTTGTTTCTTATATTCCATGTATGGGTGAAATCATATGGTGTTTGTCTTTGACTGACTTATTTTACTGAGCATTATATCCTCTATATCCATCCTTATTGTTGCAAGTGGGAAGATTTCACTTTTTTTACGGCTGAGTAATATTTCATTACATATATATATATACACATATATATACATATATATATATACACACATATATATACATATATATATATACACATATATATATACATATATATATATATATATACCACATCTTCTTCTTTACCCATTCCTCTATTGATGGACGCTTGGTCTGTTTCTGTAGTCTGGCTATTATTGATAATGCTGCTATAAACATTGGTGGTGGATATATCTATGTATCTTTTTGAATTGGTGTTTTTGTATTCTTTGGGTAAATACCCAGGAGTGGAATTACTGGATAATATGGTAGTTCTGTTTTCAATTTTTAAAAAAACCTCCACACTGTTTTTGCAGAGCGGCTGTACCAGTTTGCATTCTTTTCTAAAAAAATTTTTTTTAATGTTGTATTTCTTTCTGAGAGAGGGAGAGAGACAGCATGAGCAGGGGAGGGTCAGAGAGAGAGGGAGATACAGAATACGAAACAGGCTGGCTGTCAGCAAAGAGCCCAATGCAGGGTTTGAACCCATGAACCGTGAGATCATGACCTGAGCTGAAGTTGGACGCTTAACCGACTGAGCCACCAGTTTGCGTTCCTACTGACAGTGCACGAGGGTTCCTTTTTTTTCCTACAGCCTTGCCAGCACTTGTTTCCTCTGTTGTTGATTTTAGCCATTCTGACAGGTGTCAGGTGATGTATCATTGTGGTTTTGCTTTGTATTTCCCAGAGGATGAGTGATGTGGAGCATCTTTTCATGTCTGTAGGCCACCTGGATGTCTTCTTTGGAGAAATAGCTGTTCATGACTTCTGCCCATTTTTAAATTGGATTATTTATTTTTGGGTGTTGAGTTTTATAAGTTCTTTATATATTTTGGATGCTAACCCTTTATGGGATATGTCATTTACAAATATCGTCTCCCATTCAGGAGGCCATCTTTTAGTTTTGTTGACTGTGTCCTTCGTTGTGCAGAAGCTTTTTATTTTGATGAAGTCCTAATAGTTTATTTTTGCTTTTGTTTCCCTTGCCTCAGGAGACATATCTAGAAAACTGTTGCTATGGCTGATGTCAGAGAAATTACTGCCTGTAATTAAAAAAAAAATTACTGCTCTCTTCTAGGATTTTGATGGTTTCCTGTCTCATTTTTAGGTTTTTCATCCACTTTGAATTTATTTTTGTGTATGGTGTAAGAAAGTGGTCCAGTTTCATTCTTTTGCACGTCACCACCCAGTTTTCCCAACACCATGTGTTGAAGAGACTTTTTCCATTGGATATTCTTTTTTGTCCAAGATTAAATGATCATATAATTGTGGGTTTATTTCTGGGTTTTCTATTCTATTCCATTGATCTATGTGTCTGTTTTTGTGCCTGTACCATACTATGTCCATTACTACAGGTTTGTAATAAATCCTGAGATCTGAGAGGGTGATACCTCCGGTCATGTTCTTTTTTTTTTTTCAAGAATCTTTTGGCCGTTTGGGGTCTTTTGTGGTTCCATACAGATGTAGGATTATTTGTTGTAGTTTTGTGCCAAAGATCTTCTTTTTAAAAAATTTTCATGTTTATTTATTTTTGAGAGAGAGGGAGAGGGAGAGAGAGAGAGAGAGAGAGAGAGAGAGAGAGAAGCCCAAGTGGGGGAGGGGCAAAGAGAGGAGACACAGAATCCAAAGCAGGCTCCAGGCTCTTAGCTGTCAGCACAGAGCCCATCACGGGGCTCGTACTCATGAGCCATGAGATCATGACCTGAGCTGGAGTCAGATGCTTAACCGACTGAGCCACCCAGGCGCCCCTATCTTTTTAATGACTGCAGATCACACATCCAGTGCTGAAGCCAGATTCACCCAGGTTTGCTGCTTCTCCCTTCTTTCTAGCAGTGCATTATGCAACCCATCCTACCGCAGCCTTCCCACTGCTCCTGGCAGTCCTGGTTCCGTGCCTCCCTTTCTCAATGTCTTCCCTTGTTTTGTGGAAGCCCATCCCCAAGTAACATTCTCAGAAAGGTGGATCAGGCAAAACTCAAGTCCTCATGTGGTAGAAATGGCACAAATCCATTCTCTCCTTGCCCTGTCCCTCTGCAATGTGCTTTGCCCTCTTCATCTCAAGAGACAGGGTTCCTACCCTCTTGCACTGTTGGTGGGAATGCAAACTGGTACAGCTACCCTGGAAAACAGTGTGGAGGGTCCTCAAAAAACTAAAAATAGAACTCCCCTATGACCCAGCAATAGCACTACTAGGAATTTATCCAAAGGATACAGGAGTGCTGATGCACAGGGGCACATGTACCCCAATGTTCACAGCAGAGCTTTCAACAGTAGCCAAATCATGGAAAGAGCCCAAATGTCCATCAACTGATGAATGGATAAAGAAGATGTGGTATATACTCTTAAATACAGAGAACAAACTGAGAGTTGATGGCGGTGGGGAAAATGGGTGATGGGCATTGAGGAGAGTGCTTGTTGGGATGAGCACTGGGTGTTGTATGTAAGTGATGAATCATGGGAATCGATTCCAGAAGCCAAGAGCACACTGTATACACTATATGTGAGCTAACTTGACAATAAATTATTTTAAAAAGAGGAAGAGAGAGACAGGGTTCCTCTCTTCACCTGGATTTTGGGGTAAACTTGTGCATCACTTGGGCTTGTGTGTTGGGCCTTGACCTCTCTCTTTTGCTGACGTAAGGACCCTCTGCCACTGGGGAGGCATGGCCTTGTTGTCAGATGAGAGGTCAGGGGGAAAGAGGTCTCTGTCATTCCAGCCTGTCCCCAGTGGTCCAAAGGTGGGTTGACAAGGCCAGGGCAACCCTCAAAGTTCTGCTCTGAGGGGCAAGCCAGGTCACCAAGCCCAGGTTACGTTGTGATTGTTTTAGCCTCTAAGTGTTGAAGTGGCCAATCACATGGGAATAGATAATGAGACAACTGCACCTTACTCTGACCTCAGGCTTCTTGGATGTCAGGCTGGGGAGAGAATGAGCTCAGAGGGTGCCCTCCCAGGGGAATTTGAGGAAGGCCTCAAGGTCCTCCGTGCTGCTGCTAGGAGCGAGGCTGCTGGGCTGTTGAACATCAGCGATCCTGTTTTAAATTTCCAAGACATCGCTATTGCTCTTTGAATGTCCCTTATTCTTTTTCCAGAACATCCTGTTCTGTTTGAGGGATGCAGTAGGTTTAGAAGGGAGGGAACTTTTTGCTTCCTGCACTTTCTTTATCCTTTCTGTGGTTCTTTTTTCGTTTTGGTCTTGGGACCGCCTCTTAGCACTGTCCCCAAGTGTCTGGCTTTCCTTTTTATTCTACTCCTGTGTATCAGGGAGGCAGGAAAGAGCAGACTGGCATGATCGTCTCCCCTTTGACGTTAGGAGCTGGTGGAGCTCCCTAGTGTCAGGTCCCTGCAAGGAGTCCCTGCCGCCTCTGAGCAGACAGTCTACTCACTGCAGTCCTGCGGCCCGGAAGAGGGGACGGCGTGTGTGCAGGGTTCCCGGATCACCTGCTTCCTGCCATCGTGATTAATAGAGCACCGTTTGCCTCTCCACAGTGTTGGATGGTCACCCCAAGCTGTCCCCTAGCAAGTGCTGTTTTTCTGCTCGTCTAACCACCCAGGCTGCTCCACTAAGCGAGCCCTCACTTCCTGTCTGAAGAAGTTTGTCAAGATCCCTTGTCTGCAGATGTCGTTCTCCCGTCCTCTTTGGCATGCGGGAGAGGTATGCTGCAGGGACCACTGGTGGGTGGCTCAGTGACAGGGGAGGCGGCATGCACAGTCCACAGGTGGTGCCAGGCTGGACACATGCGGCCCTGGCCCCAGGAGGCCCCCTGTGTTTCTAGGGCGGGGTTGCATCTGCGCAGCCTGTAACAACACACTGGCTGGGGATGACCTGGGACAGGTCCTCCTGGAGCCAAGCTCAGGCATCAGCTGCCCCCCGCAAACTGCTCCGCCAGCAGAGGAAAGAAGGAGCCTCTATCCAGCCCCTCTCTGGAATTCCACGGGTTTCCGATGTCCTCCATTCAGAGTACCCTTCT